TTAGGGCACCCAAAAAAGGACCATAATTTTGACAACCACCCTACTAAACTCTGCACCCAAAAATCCCCACACCGAGCCCGGAATCCAACACCCTCAGCTCTAAAGGCCGCCTTTGAGAGCTAAACTCAGATCGCCATCCAGCGCACCTGGCCAAGGATCAAAAAGCTAAGGACCTGAAGAATTCTTGATGCCATTCTCCTTTGAGCAGTGCACAGTTGCGGCATCAGGTTCAGAGCTCATAGCATCTTCCCGCTGACATACCCAGATAAATCATGTATGAATATGAATATATGCACGAACTGTACAAACCTATGTTCCTTAGTCTGCTCATACATCTTGTTGCTGGAGGTATTGGGGTTGCTAAGCGCTTCAGTCTGAAGCATGGGACTTGCGGCTCTAGACTTGGGGGTCTAAGCGAGAAGGTTTAAGGCACAGGTAGCATCAGGACTCACACGCTTCAGGATGTAGAGGCGCGCCTTTGAAGACCTTAAGGATTACGAACCGTCTGTTTGGAGTTTAGGGTTTGTCCTTTAGGGTTTGTGGCTTAGGGATCCTTCTGCCCTGCAAAGGTCCTGAACTCTGGGCCCCCCTTGCTCCAAAAGGCAGCCCTGGCACCACAACAGCTTTTGAACAGAAGCACCATGCATCCCATGCTTTATGTGTAGGGTGAAAATGTGACATGCTAACGCTCAAGAACAGGTAAAGACCTCTTCGCAATCTTGTCCTGGAGTACACAAACTACACTCGTACTGCCCTGTTGGTGTCATGTAACGTTTATTGCGTGTACAATGAGTATGATCGAATAAGCTACAGGGCTTGGCGATCAGGTTTTGACAGCCAAATGCAGGGTCCTTTGTAGATACCACCCTGCTCGATTCCAAAGATGTAGCCAGCATGGGGTTCTTGAAATCATTGCAAACGTGGGACGAGCCCTCAGACTTGTTGCTGCCATCAGCCAACCATTGCTTCGTTCAGTTGCAGAACAGCGGCTACTGTCTCCCTGCACAGCAAGAGTTGCTGACTTGCTGAGTCAGATGTTGCTTTCAACTTGGCTCCTTGCAAGTCAGAGGAGAGATGGATAATGGAAAAGAAAATGGAAACTACTGTTTAGGGTTTAGGGTTTAGGGTTGTAGACCCATGATTAATAAACCCCCTCCTTTTAAGGGCCAGTCTAGTTTTGCCTCTCCAGTGGAAGATTGTATTGCAGGGGGCAACAGTCAGTCCATCACAACAACCTCAAATTGACTGCCTGTCACACTTGCCATGGTACACAAACCAGCCTGAACAAGCCTTAACACGAACAAGGCTAACAAGGCCTGCGACAAACATCTCATAGAGTTCGGCTTCGCCCCAGTCAAGGAGTTTTGCTCATGGCCAACCTGGATGCCCTCCTCATTTCGAACAGAAGAAGACAAAATTCTTGTTCCAAACCGGGGGTGAACACAAAGGGCTTACTCCTGAACCCCAAACCAACAGCCAAACAGAAAAGCCCAAGTCCTTGAATTGCCCTTGCAGTCCAAATAGTAAATTGCTACATGGAATAAAATGTCATGCTTGAACTGTAATAATACTAATAGCAATAGTAGTATTAACAGTAATAACTAATACTAACAGTACAAATAATCATAATACCTGGAAACTGGGTGCCCCGCAGATGGGCTGATGAACCGTGAGGAGCTTGGTCCCGTCCGGGAAGGTAGCTTCAACCTGCTTGCGGCGGCAGTCTCTAAGACCATTCCCTTAACCCTCAACCCTGAACCCTGAACACGTAACCCCAAACCCTAAAGCCTTGACCCTAAGCCCTTGAAAGCAGGTTCCAGGAAGGTATATATCGGGTACTGCCCCCACCCTGTAACAGTCTATATGCGGGGTCTTACTAAAGGCCAGTACCCAAGGTATGTATGAGGGTCTCCCAAAATTAGGGGTACCTTTGTGGCGGTCCCCATAATAAGTACTATAGCATATTGGGATCTATGTTGGGGTCCCCCGTTTTGGGACATTGCCGTATTACGAAACCCCAGCATTGTCTGTGGGAGAAATTAGAGATTTCCTGCTTATAGCTTGGCGTGGATTTTATCCTACCTAGAGCAGATGAAGTGTTCCGCTTCCATTTGTGAAGATGCTTGGCGGTTGCCTGTCAAGCGCATGGAAAATTTCAACATTTCAGCCAAAATAGAAACCCCCGAAGCCTAAACGCTAAACCGTGCTATAGTGCTTACTGTGGGCTTCAGAGTTCAGACTAGATCAGGGTGTGTGAGCAGGGGTCCATGAGGGCACTTCAGGGTTTACGTGCAGGAACGTGACCCTAAACCCTAAACCCTATATAGCCCCATTATAGTAGTTTCCATTTTCTTTTCCATTATCCCAATATAACCCCTATATGTATATACCCTATATAACCCTATATAATCCTATATAATCCCTGTAGTTTCCATTTTCTTTTCCATTATCCCAATATATCCCCAACCCTAAACCCTGAGGTTAGGGTACCCCTTTAGGGTTTAGGGATTTGGGGTTTGGGGTTTAGGGTTTAGGGTTCAGGGTTCAGGGTTTAGGGTTTAGAGTTTAGGGTTTAGGGTTTAGGGTTTAGGGTTTAGGGGTTAGAGTATATATTAGGGTTATAGTGGGATAATGGAAAAGAAAATGGAAACTACAGGGATTATAGGGATTATATAGGGGCTATATAGGGATTATAGGGTATAAATTGGGGTTATATTGGGATAATGGAGAATAAAATGGAAACTACTATAGTATAATAGAGTATATATTAGGGGTATATTATATAACGGTACTCGTAACAGCAACAACAATAATGGTTAGCACGGTAGTTTCCAAGCTGTGTTCCTAGTTAGCTTATGATGAACTGAGAAGGCTCGTCAACAACCTGCGGCACATGATAGGTTGTGTTTAGCATTAGGGTTTAGGGCATCATGATCAGAATTTTGTGCTGTTTACGCTGAGACAAGCCCGCTTCAGCACGCCACGTTCAAAAGACTTGCAAATGTCACCGTCATCTGCGCAGCTGTTAAGTCTGTAACGTCTGATCACCCGGCTGAATCTCTGATAACTTGCAATAACACAGCCCCAAACTCTGCACAATAAGCGTTGGGAAGATTATTTTGCGGAAAGTCTCCCAAATCCCTGACACCATACAAAAGCCGCAGGCATCCCAAAGAGCCCAACGCAGCGCCTGTACATCGGGAATGAGCTTCTCAACTCCTGGCAAGACCTGCGCTGAAGAGACACCGCCGGGGCTGCCGGGCCCACACGCATGCGGAAAGAACTCTGGTTTTATGACAACGAGGTGCGCACGAATTCTGCAGGCGTTGAGTTTTGACGGCTCTACAAACACGAGCCATGTAAAGGTTCAGGTGCTGAGTGTTGCACAGCACTGGCCTGTTAAGCAAAGTTTATACACACACACACATAAAGTATGAGGTTCCATGTTAGTTTGGGGGATTTGTGTTTGGGCTGCACCCTGCTACAGGGAAGCCTTCGGCTTAATATTTAGGGATGATAGAAACACAAGAGTGCCCTTCTCAGGGACCAGAGAGATAGTATAGGGTGCTCGAATACGTAGGCGTCACTTAACCGGCAAATGTGCGACTACTTTAACATGCGCCATCACTCCTCAAACGCAAAGATCCTCAAAATGAGCGCCGTACACAAAACATGATGAAGCTCATGACAAAACTTCCTGATTCCAGAGCTCTAAACATGAACGTCCGGAATGACGGATCCATCACCCTGTGGCCACCCCAAAATCCACAAACCTAAAACCTATCACAACCATCCCCACACGATCAGTAGTCAATCATGCCACCATCCCTATAGTGAATACTCTGTGTTGAATACTTTGTGATACTCACGACTCACGTAGACCATAGAGCTCCACCTTGGCCCTTGAAACCTTTCTGATGATCCTGGTGATTCTTTACACGATCTCTAGAAGACTTCTCCCGAAGCCCTGAATGAAGCCCTGTCCCCTAGTGGACCCTGCATCCTTTATGGCATGAGATATGCAGCAGCCTATGCGGGCTTCTACATTGCAATTTCTCTCGCTCCTCATAATACATTATCCCTATATAACCTTTCAAAGGCACCAAATACATTGCATTCAGCCTCCATGTGAAATAAGGGTGAAGACCAGCGAAATCATGGAACCCTAAACCCTTAAATGCACACGAGCCAAGAATAGACAGGCATCATCACCCTATCTAGAAGTACCCTAACATTCTCCCCAACAGCAGTACGGTAGTTTGCCTAAATAGGGGGAGTTTGGGATAGCCCCATGGTATAATCCTGTTTATCGGGACCTCAGACCCCAGAAAAGTACCTGTAATTTTGGGAAACCTCCCGTAAAAACCTTGAGCCCCATGATCGGCCAAAGCGCCTGCCGCCTTCCCAGCAGCGTCTTACCCAGGTCCATAAGGGCCGACACAGAGAGGCCGTCCCGTATGAACCTGACAGTTGACAGCTCACGGCTAGAAGTTTTGGGTTGGATCTTGGCAGGGTTACCTAGCTCGTAGGTGCGAAACTCATCAGGTTTTAGGTTGAGCGCTCATGCTGGAGGTGCTGACGGTACCACACACACACCACTGCTAGTGTTGCTACAACCACCACTGCTAGTGCGACTGCGACGACTGCTGCTGCTGCGGCTGCGGCTGGCTGCTCATCCTACTGCTACTTGTTACCCCCACCGCTGCTGCTGCCACTGTAGGTCATGCAACCGCTAGTGGTACCATGGTGTCCGCGACGCTACTAGTTCCACTAATGCTGCTGCTCCTGCGGAGGTTGTGTCTTCTCTCACTGCCTCTTCTTTTCCATTATCCCTATATAACCCCAATATAAACCCTATTATCCCTATAGTAGTCTCCATTTTCTTCTCCATTATCCCTATATAACCCCAATCCTGCCAGAGCTATACTCCTGGATTTTCACTCTCGAGCAGCCTGCAACGACTGCAAGACCAGGCCCTGAGGACCCCGCTCCATCATCTGGCTTGTGAGCAAGGCAACGGCCTTTCCGAAGAGCAGAATTTTCGAAGAGGGGACTGGAGTTTAAGCTTAGAAGGTGAGGCCTCGTGACATGAGCCCCGAAACCCAAACGTGAAATCCTCAGATCTCTTGCATACATAAGAAAACGAAAAAATCTTTCTTGAAAAGACTCGCGGAACGGTCTCAAAGTTTTCAGAAACCATGACACAACCCTAAAACCCCTGAAAATACCCAATCTATGCTGCTAAAAAACCACCCACATGATACCCCATCATACCCCCTGGAAGGACCCACTCGGGCCTCCGGATGGTTCAGGCGCAAGCCCCGCGCCAACCGACGCTGCGCAATCTGGCCGGCCTCTCTGATGAACAAGGTGGCTGAAGGTTGAGGGGTCTAGGGACTCAAATACTACGGCTGTAGGGCCCAAATACCATTCATACTATGGTATTTGGGCCCTAAAACCCTATTATTTGGGGGCTTAGGGTCTGAGATTGAAGGCCTTCGCGCTTCGGCTTTTCAAGTATCAAGTCCCTCGCGAGCGGCTCAGCCAGGCTTGAAGTTAAAGGCCTTAAAATTCTCTCATACACAAAACGCTTTGAAGTTCAAAGCCTTGATATCAGGTCTGTGGATTTGGGAATGACTTTGGGGGTGGTTGGCCTTATTGATGTCACTACTATCTGTTGATCATTGAAGTTTCCCCGTAATTGCTTTTGCCACGTTTCTGTCCATGAAAGTCACTACAAGGCCAGATTACAATCACCACCACAGTTACACTTACTACCACAACTAGTAACTAGTCCTCCTACTGCCACGGCCAGCATTGCCAACACTTGATTCATTCTCACCACTGCCCATCGGCCGATCTTGACATGAGCTTACAGTCAATATCACCCATGTAATTAACGGGCATGGGCGGCATGGGTGACAATTAAGGAATACATCATGGAGTATACTAAACTACCGGAGGGACCCCTATGTCCACCCTTACTGGTCCCTCGGTATCCCTAACATTGACAGTAGCTCACGTAGACCACTATATGACCCCAGCTTCCATTTCACTCTCCATGTTCTTTTCCATGTTATTCTCCATTATTGGGGTCATATATCCCCATATATAACGCTATATAACCCTACTATGGGAGCCCCAGAAAGTATCAGTGGCTTCAGGCTTCGGCATAGCAGCTTGGAGTTCAAAGATCTGGTGATTGGAGGCCTGCCTTTTGATTGGCCCGTGCCGTTTCAGGCCTCAAGCGTCCGGATTCAGGGCATACAGATTCGAGGAGTATTTGTGAATGGTGCGGTATTGAAGATTCCGGGCTCGGAGCTTTGGATGAGGCCTCTGGACAAAAGTTCTCAAAATTGTCCCGCGATTTCTTTTTTGATTCGCTTTTGCGCTACCCGCTACCGCCACCCAGAAACAAAGCAATCAAAGCAATGGCCTCCCTAGAGCCACCTTTCTTTACAACCATGCCTGTGACAGGCGCAGATGGTCCAACTCGCGAGGAGTGAGCCTGGGGCTTCTCTTCTGGGTAGACAGCGTATGTCACTCGGGCTCTATGGGAACCCATGTCCCAATTCCAAAAATTCTTAAGCCCTGAAAATACCTCGAACTCCCAAAGCTTTCCAAGATCCTCCAACCCACAAACCTCCGGATGTTTGTTGTCCTTGCAAGTGATACAACTTTTTGTTGCACTAGTTTCCATTGGACTACCCATATCTTCATTAAAAATGCGCCGCGCTGATTGTCATTCATTTGTACTGTTATGAGTATCCTTACGGGGAACACAACACATATTTTTGTTCTTACAACAAATGTGTTCTCCTCCTTGCAGGCATCACTATAAACTAAGCTGCTGTCGATAGCTGTCTTTGTACTGGCATTATTGCGCGGCCTTGCGATCATTAGCAGCTGTGGTCCTACAATTTAGGCGCTTGAGTTGCGAAGGGTAACAGGATGGGGATCGTTGATTGAGGGAAGGTTACCCTCTCGCAAACTAGCATGGAAGTCCATGTAAGTCCCATTTTGCAGGGCAATAATCTCTGTAGGGCCCTCCGCGTTAGTCTTGGGCAAGGATAGGCTTGGCAGGTTTCATGGCTCTTCGGAGCCAAATCTTTCAGCTTTTATCTTGATATAGGGATTGAAGGATGGGGTTATACAGGATTGTATACAGCGAGCCGGGCGGCGGGTGGGGTTTTCGTACCACACATTTTGCCTTAACTCTGTAAATCTAAAACACAGGCCCCAAGCCCTAACCACGTAAGCCATTAATCGCACACCTGAACAGAAACGGCTAAAATGCAGAAACTGAGACATCACCAATATAGAACTGAGTTTTATTTGATGCACCCTACATTATAACTATACACATAACTTGAAAACTATACTATTATCTCTATTATCCTCAAAGCAAAACTTGCCTAATCAAAGTTTTCATGTCATGTTTTGTATTGTTTTCCATTTGATTCTCCCTTGTTCCCTAATTTGGGCGATATCATCCCTGAAAACCACTATGACAGTCCTAACTGCTGAACCCTAAACCACCCAATTACTCTCTTCAAATCAGCCCGGGCACTTCATCCCACGGCGTTGCTGAGACCACGGCTGGGCCTGACTCAACAGCTGTCTAGAAGTTACATAGAAATATAGAGGAATTATATGAAGGTTAAATAGGGGCTATACGGGAGTTAAATAGGGATCGTATAGGGCTAACTCACCCTGGAACGACACTGACTCTCAATAGTCCACGATATAAATAGGGATCGTATAAGGCTCATATATTTTTATTGGGGATTTAGAAGGGCTATAAAGCGGTTGCATAGGAGTTATACATGTATGTAGCTGGTTTAGGGATAAACAAAGGAATAATCAAATGAAAAAATTGCAAAGCGAATTGGAAACTCGCTTGTACGGATATACAGGGTTTTACTGTTTAGGATTTAGCGCAGTGGGGTTCATTTTTTTCGTCCAATTTCTGCGCGACCTGCGTGCCAAACATGCCCGTCACGGGCACCGCGAAACTTGGTGGCCCCAGCAGTGCGGCCTCCCAAGTGGTTGTTGGATGCGCAGCCTCTGCCACCTCCGTGCAGCCTCCGATTGGCTCCATGTGGTACGACATGGGAAGCTCCTCGCGCACCCGGAATGGCTCCGGGCGCGCCCCAGAAGTGGCACCTCTGCGGCCTCTGCACCGCACTCTTTGCCTCGGCTCGCCTTCGCGTACTTCTCCTCCACATCGCCAAAATTCACAAAGAGGCGATGCCCTCGTCATACACTTTTGTCGGCCAGGCCAAACTTCTGACTGAGCTCTTCCATCGATGGATGCTATTTTCGGTCACTGGACTCCTTTGGAACGCCATCTCCATGCTCTTGCGGCTTGCCAGCAATCAGCTCCTGGCTGGCAACGCTGTCGAATCGTTGCCACTATGCTGTCAAGTTTGGAGTGAAGCATCTTGATCACAGTGTCTTCAGAGTGGACACCCATTTGCTCGACCTTTTTCAAGGCCTGCTCGATGATCTGCGCCTTCAATTCCTCCTTTGCCTCCCCAATTTCCATTGCAGTCTTCTTGCCCATAGTGGCAGTGTTTTAGCGGCCCTCACAGATGACCTTGTCCTCCAAACGCGTCCTGTTGCCTGCCCTTGCCATCTCCTTCTGGGTCTCCTCTTGACCAGCTCTGAGAACTGCCGTCTCATTATCAACCAACTCCTCCTGCAGTTGTTGAAGGTCCTTGTGGTGTTGTTGGATCTGACTCTGCAACTTCCTTCCTCCAGCAGCAGGCCACGTGCCTTCACCGCAATGCTTGAAGCACACCTCGAAAGTATGCAATGGTTTGCTGTCGATCTCGCCGTCCCTGTCTTACACATTCCTTGCCAGTTTTTATCAATTCCTTTAGCCATTGCTTGGCGCTAGCGAACCACTCCATGCCTTCTGTGCCTGCCGCTGTGACAAAGTTCGAAGGTAGTCAGAACCAGAAGATGTTAGCGAGTTCAGCCAACCCCCCCAATAGGTTCTGCGAACTGATTCTGCAAACCGGTTCTGCGAACCTCAGGGCTAGGGGAATCGTCTTAGGAGTTCTGGATTTAAGGGCTTAACGGCCCTGGGTTTGGGCTTAGGGGTCACGGGATCTACGTTTGAGTTTCAGGGTTCAAGGTTAAGTTGCTCCAGCCTCAGGCTACTGTAAAATTCAGGGCTGGGTACTTGGAGCCGCAATAAAACTGCTAGCAGAATAAAGACCCTATACTGCAGCCAGGGAAAATGAAAGTTACAAAGCTGAATAGTAAAGTAATGGAATGCTATCTGCGCAAACTGACGCTGCCAAGAGTCCCTTTCTGAATATTTCAGGGCCTTTTGGGAGGAGCTGCTTGATAGTCTGGTGGAGGGCAACTCCCTGAAGGGACCTGAACTGTTCCTTCAATGCCGGAATGTACCCATCCAGATTCTTAGTTGAACTCTGCCAAGCAATCCAACAACTTCTTGATAAAGTGCACTCAAAACAGCCTATCAAAAGCACCTACAGAGAAAGCGTAACTGTTCAGAATGTATCCATGCAACCCCGATTCCAAGTAATCATGGTGTTCTCTCTTCCAATGATGGAAAACGTGCTGTAAAAGTTGTGACTGGCTAAATACCGACACCGGAAAGACAGCCTGGAACTGCTAAAGGAACTGTAGAACAATATCCTCGACAGGTTCTTTATGAAGCCTTGAGGCTGGGCCTAATGTACAGAATGGTCTTCCCCATCCAAAACTACTGCAAGGCCCTGAACCTCTTCAGCGTAAACGCGACTTCCCTTTTGAAGTCTCTCTAGACCTTTAAAGAAATACTGTAGACCTTCACGAAACCTCTCTTTGCCTGTGTATTCCCTGGCCGTACCGCTGAGGAAGCCTGAGGAAGCTGCCAAGCATCGCGACAGTGGCGCCGAAGATGCTGGGCACCTGATGTGGAGCTGGGGTTTCGAGAATTTAGTGTCCCTGAGCGATTTCTGCACAATCTGTACATACATGTATACGGGATCATGAAGCATCAAGCCAAGGTTTACAACCGTTAAAGGGTTTGAGATGCAAATTGCGCAGGGTAGGGTGTAGAATAGAAGTTGAGGGTTTCTGGATTTGCGACCCTGTTAAGGAGTCAGACACGAGCTATACAGCTACTTTGCCGAACGTGGGATTACCTTGGAGTGAACAGGATAGGGGAAGTATACAACTCGAGCCCTCCTCTCCCCCGAGCCATGAAGACATGCAATCAGGTTCTTGTTAAACTGACACTAACAACTTCAGATCGAAAAACATCAGCTTCGGACGAGAACACGCCGAAAACCTGACTCTAATCAATCCAGCTGGGAGCGCCGACAAACACCTGTCA